GGTCGTCCCGAGAAATCATACAGTGAATAAGAAGAATTCAGAAGAAAACAGAAGAAGGCTCGCTTAAAAGTTACTAGTGTCATTACTTGAAATTATTTAGTAATTTCATTCTTTAAAAAAGCAATTGTTTAAGAGCATCTAACAATGATAATAACTACCTATTATAGTAGAAATTACGCCCTTCAATTTGAATTTTGTTAGAGTCGATTTGGGCGATTCTACGCAGAGTCATGACACTTTAAAATCACATTCATTGTTATAAATAAACAATTGTTTAAGAGTGTTTAACAATGATAATAACTGTCTATTAGATAGTAGAAATTGCGCTTTGAATTTTGAATTTTGTTAGAATCGAATCGGACGATTCTACACCGAGTTATGGTACCCCAAAGTTTCCTATTTTATAGACAATTATGAATGAATGATTGGTCTACGTCAATACCCGGAAATGTGTACGCATGTAATAAAGTAGAAAAAATCGTAAACACAGTAGTATTTCCTGGAAGAAGGGTAGATTCCCACAATGAAGCGTAGTATTTTGACAACAATCACCCTTACAGAGTTTCCCTTGAATATCTACAGTTCCTTTCGAACGATTTGGATGAAACTTGGTATCCAGAGGTTTTTGGGGTCGCCGATTCCAAATCTGAACTCAAATTAAACAAATTCAAAATGGCGGATGCGGTGTAGCGGGACAAAATGCGAAAAATGATTCGATTTGGATGAAACTTGATCCTCTTAATTTGAAATTTGAAAATTCAAAATGGCGGATCCAGTATGATAGGACAAAATTCTAAAAATGATTGATAAAATTTACTCTAACGAACGATACAAAGTTTTACTTTAATAACTAAAATTTTGTTGCAAAGTGAGAAACACTTTTTCGCACAATTAAAGATTCGTTCGAGCGGAATTTACTTCCAAACGGAATAAACATTCCTAAAGGGCAACTCGTTTCGCTCAGTTCGATGAGAATTCTTTTCAAATAAGATACTCTTGATACAGGTTAAGATTCGTTCCAGCAAAAGTTTGTCTTCAAACGAAACGAAACTTCTTGATGGTAAAATCGTTGGTTCGGTTAAACGAGAGATGTTTTCAAATAAGAAATAATCCTAGGTAAGAGCAACGTTTCTTAAGATTACTTGAACGAAGTACAAGAATCAAATAAGAACGAGGACGACAATTATATTTAATATCCGTTCTATTATTTAAAGTGAAAACTCACTTCCAAATAAAATTAAAATTAATGATAATAATTGTTAATTCTAATACTTATTAAGTTCGTTGAGAACTATTTATTGCTTTCTTGGTAATACAGTCCCCCAAGATAAAATAATTAAATGATAAAGTATCAGCTATGTGAACCTGGCACCCGACTTTTCAAAAATTAATTTTTTTTATAGAAATTGATAGTATTTCGTTTGTACTTGATTGTATCACCAATAGTTTCGTTTGTACCTTCGTCAATTAATAAATAAAAAAAATTAAAAAAAAAAGCCAGCACCCGACATTGAGATTTTTGAAATCTGTTTTTCTCCAATTCTTTAGAATCATTTTTACCCGTTTGTACCGCTTTTCGTTTCGTTCGTATCTCAATATTTCAAATTTTACAATTCAACCGTATCAACAATTGCTTGTAAAATTTGAACTATTGAGATACGAACGAAACGAAAAGCGGTACAAACGGGTAAAAATGATTCTAAAGAATTGGAGAAAAACAGATTTCAAAAATCTCAATGTCGGGTGCTGGCCTTTTTTTTTTTAATTTTTTTTATTTATTAATTGACGAAGGTACAAACGAAACTATTGGTGATACAATCAAGTATAAACGAAATACTATCAATTTCTATAAAAAAAATTAATTTTTGAAAAGTCGGGTGCCAGGTTCACATAGTTTGAAGTATCGACAGTTTAAAAGGCCGCCACGTTTGCCACTCGACAGTGGAATAGTACTTTGCCATGAATTCCAATTTGCACGATTAATTGTAACGAAACTAACCTTCTCGGTGTCGTAATTCCTAGCGGAAAACATTTCTTAATTGAAAACTCGCCTACAGCGTAACGTTGTTGTTCGATTTTTTCCTTCGCTGTACGAACACGTAGAAACAGTCGTCAATTTTTACGTAATCATTAAAAACTCATCGAACTCGTCGTATAAAAGAAATTTAAGAATATTTGAAAAGGTCACCTTGAAACACAAGACACTGCTAAAATGGTCAAAGGTCACAAATACACGACTTTGCAAAAGGTTATATAATTTAGAAACACAACTCTACATAAACCAGTTATGGAGAAAAATAGTTCTACGTACATACACTACGAACTTCTATGAACACTTTGATTGTGTCTAATAAATTCATTTAAAAATTTTAAATTGCATCGAAGATGAAGTATCTCTATCGTCATAAAAATGACATTAAAGAAGTTAAACCTTTTTGCTTGAACTGAATATGTATGGCCAAGAATAGTTCGACCTTCAGCCACGGGAAATTAAAAGGCAATCGACGGTGTCGAAAATTAACGGGACAATTCGTCGTTCCGAGCAATTCTTATTTGTCTTTGTTCTCGTCGGCTTTATCTCGCGACGATAAATCTCCATTCAGCGCAACGAAGAGTAATCAATACCGACAATGAATCGCCAAAGGAAGACCGTGCGAAAATAGAAGAGAACGGCGTGCATAATCGGGACTGCACAAATATTTGCATCTATTTTACGCTCTATCGATGTCACTGAATTTTGGATGCGCGCGATATTTTTAGACGCGATAGGCCGGGTTGATCTATTCTCTGCAACGCGTATGCATATTCCGTGGGGTTACAACGTCGCTTCGTTCGCTGATTTAATAATACCCACAAGAGAGACACACAGTTGGTACCGACATTTTTCGAGGGAGACGGAGGTCAAATTATAAAGGCCAATTAGTAAAAGCTACTTCAAAGAGTATTTGAGGATTTTGTAGTTTGCTCGAACTCAGATGGTATGAAGTATATTAGATTTTTAAATTATAAATGAAAGATGATGTCACGATCACGCTGAGAAATGTATCTTGCTTTTAAAAGACAAGACTCGAAAGCCTCTTTTATAGACAAATTAGAGATATTTCACCGTGGCTATCAAGGTCTAGGGACAAAGAAAATTAACCTCATGTATGATACGATTAATACAGTCTTGTTAAAAACTGCAGTTCTTGTTTTCACTGCCTCTTATAAAAAGTGACAAATTCGCGTAGATTGTAACGGCTTGGCAGACTCAAGGACTCATAATAAAAAGGTCGAGGGGTGAAACTGTGAGATGTATACAAAACATATGAGCCGGTATATAAGAATGTACATTCCTTCAATAGATATGAATTTGTCTAAATTAAACTATAGGTTTCATGTGCCCAAATAAATGTGAAGTTTATTCATATGCACATTGCTAATGAAGATTTATTTGGAAAAATCGAACCTACCATTTAATTTAGACAAATTACTCCAAATAGATATAGAGGGTACGAATAGTTATGGAACTGACTGTTTGCTCCATTATGTTTAAAGATTCACATCCAAACATTATCGCACTAAATTGCACAGTTCCAAAGATAGATTTTTATTCGTCATTCGAAATTTGTTTCGAAATGAGAATTACGCCCAATCGTGTATCCCCCTCGCGAGACAAAAGGTGAATCGATAGGAGACAGCGGCAACACACAAAGCCCTTATATATCGCGCGTAACGCGATTGGTGCCAATTAAACAGTCTCGTTAGAGCGCCGTTGAGAGCCCACTTTGCAGAGGAGTCGAGACTTTGTAAAAATTGCGCCCGCCATCCAGGTAACTCAAAGCACACGGAGAACGTTCGCGACACAATTAATTCACAGGTAGCAGCGAACGAGTGGGGACGGAACGGCGAGTGCTCTTAACGCGAAAAGGTAAATCTACGAGTGAAATCGTGGATGGAACGAAAAGAAACCGAAATGAAAATCCCAAGGTATCGAAGGCGCGCGCGTTAATTAATCGCTGGCGTAAATTTACGACCGGCACCGAAACAACGGCCAGAGCAAATGCCATCAGAAAGCAAATTTACCGCCCGTAACGGCGCTCCTCGTACTCTCCGACCGTAAAACCACAATGTGTACCGATTCACGATCGATCAAGTATCAAATTATATCGCGCGGAGCGATTCAGTTCATCGTTGAACTTTAAACGTCAAACGATCGAGTCCTTGCATATATTCAGTTCTCAAGTTAAACGAACTTGTGGCTCCACTTTGTTTTCCAATCTTAACTTTTCGTCGTAAAGAAGAGACATATCTTAATTTCAAAGGGGAACTGTGTTGAATCTAGATCTTGGAAATTTGAGATTCGGAGTAACAATGGAAAATTCGAATTTTCTAAATTTATATGAATTTAGCCAGTGATTTCATCATTTTTGAAGGTAAAATTAAATGGCACAGTAGAAAAAAAAGATCAGTCCTAGTCACATTTTAATCAATGCTCCAAAGAGAAGAATTAATCGACACTCCATGTTCCCTCTCGCGGTACCACATATTTCTCAACTAGAGATCTTTCTTTCCCCGTGCGATACACGCTATTTGGGAAGCTTTCGAATAAATTAACCGCGCAAGTGAAGGACTCGACTGTTCCGTACAGTCGAGTACTCCGTAAATGTCGCGGTGGTGTTCAAGCTAGAGATTCGAAGGAAGTGTAACGATAATGCGATGTCAACGTGTGAAAAGAAAAGATAGAAGTATCGCTGGATGCGAGGGTGCGCATCCGTTGTTTAATCGGGGGAAAAAGAATAACCGACGTGTGTGGCGGGCATCTCATTGATCCGAGGGAAATTTTACGCATTGGCGGTTCCATGGCCGTGACTTAGTGAATAAAAGTGCGGCTACGTGAAACACTGCTATGCGATCGGTATCGAACGATCCGGTTGGGTATTGCGTGAATGCGAAGGATAAAGGAGAAAGAGGAGGCGGAAGGGTGCGGTAGACATGTTAGACGAAGTGACAAGACTTACCTTGTCTGAGGGTATGTTGCGCGAACTCATCGTAGATGGTGACAAGGGGGTGTCGCGAGGAATCCAGAGGCCGTCCGTAATTTGACCCAAAGCTGACTTTCCCGAATGGCACAGGTATTAACAAACGGTGACAGCAGTGAATAAGCCAGTGCGACGCACTACTCGATGAAAACACACTCACGCACAGCTCACTATTCCGGGACCATTTCGGCCCGAGCCTTCGCTGCCCCGATCACTCACTCCGACACCTGTCGTTACTTGTACATGTCGGGCGCAAAGTATTTGGGTAACATGTTGCGGATAATGCACGGAATACGCTCTCTAGATTGCACCGCACGCACCCACCGTCCCAGTCTCGGAGCCAAACACATAAAATGGCGATCCTGAGACGATGCAGCCTTCTGGGGAAGCTTCGGTCACGAAGTACGCGATCAACTACTAGAAGCCTCTTTGATGTTCTTCGCTAGTGGCAGTGGGGGTAGTCGGTCGCGCCATTCGGGGAACTTCGGAACCACGGCATGCGAACTAAGCTTGCTGTAAATATACAAGGAATCTCTTCTACCACAAACCTTTATATTTCTTCACATTTTGTATACACAGAAAAAATACAACAAACAATAGTCTTTAGTCCACGTTAAATCAAATATTGTACTGTAAAGTACAACCTACTTAACAATTTTCGAGGAATCAGCATGAATGGACTTGCGTCATTTCATTCAAGACACCCAGTATACACAATCTAAAATTGTAAACAACTTAAAGCGCTCTTTTTATGACGAATGTTGATCTTTTTTCGTAAAGCAAATTTTGCATGAATTTTTCATTATTGTATCGCTTTGTAATTAGTAATAAAGTAGGTTATATCGATCACATTTAATATTATTGTAAACGCTACCTTACTTTGGTGGCACATTAATATTAGCATATAACCTCCTTAGTCTCTCTGAAGTTTTGACAGTTGCGAATGATAGATTACATTGCTTTATAAAAGCATTCATTCGCATGTAGTCGTGAATTATGAATAAAACTGCGTACTTCATGTATATTTGACGTACAATGGAATATCTGTGATAAACCTTTTATCAAAATACTGTTAAAAAATGTCTGCAATTATAGATGATAAAGTGGTTGCAGGAGCACAATCTGCGAATGTTGTTAAAGAAGATCCTATTGTAGCTTTAACGGTACATATTACCGTTTTAATGACAACATTTATATAATTAGTACATTCCTGTGTATTTTTTCCTCACATCATAAAATATAACCTTACTCCATTTCCTCCAAATTTATCCCAACACATCATTTACTCCAACGATTCTAACATTCAAACTACATTAATACTTACTTTTCAAATTATTTTCTAATCCTCTGATAGTTATATTAACTATTTTAGGAGAAAGTAAATGCATTATATTTTTTTCGAGATCATTACTTTGAGAATCGTTCCATCGAGGAAGCAATTAAAAAGAATGGTGATGTAGAGAAACAAATGAAAGATACCATAAACAAATTTGATGAATGTAAAGGATATGAAATTGATGGCTCACGAGCAAAATATTATTACCTGAAGGGAAAGGCCTTAAATGTTACAGAACGTTTTATACCTCAAGCAGAAGAATTATTAACTAAAGCAGTCAAATTAGAACCTAACTTAGTAGAAGCATGGAATGAATTAGGAGAATGTTATTGGAAAAACGATGATATTCAACAAGCAAAAAATTGTTTTGTTGGTGCTTTACGACATGTAAACCTTTTTCTTCTTAATAGTATAGCTACATACTATTTTTTTAAAACTTATTGTAATATAATTACAAATATTGTAGGGTAGAAATAAAGTATCTTTACGAAATCTGTCAATGGTACTTAGGCAAGAACCAGCTTCTAATACAGAGCAACGAATAAAAAATATACAACAAGGATTGGAATATGCTAAAGAAGCAGTTAGTCTTGATACAACAGATGGTACATCCTGGGCAATTCTAGGAAATGGCTATTTGTCTTCCTTCTTTACGGTAGCAAAGAATCCTGGAACTTTATCCTACTGCATGTCAGCTTATATGCAAGCAGTGAGTCATTTATGTAGCATTAGAATTCAGTTATCTAGCTATAACACAATGATTCATAAATTATTTTTAGGAAAAAGATATTGTAGCAGGGAGCAATTCTCATTTATTTTATAATAAAGCAGTGGTAGGTGTTCTTTAATTTCTGAGTTATTATACAACAGTTTGAAGACATCTAATAATTTGTATTTGTTTGAATAAATAACAACGGTACTAGGTTTTGAAGTATCAAGAAGATTATTGCACGGCGTTGAAGTCGTTTGAAAGAGCAATGTTGTTAGATCCAATATGGGAAACACCACGTCAGAAAAGGGATGAATTGTTACAATATTTAAAGGATGTACAAAGTTTAGTAAACAATAATGGAAAAGTCAAACCGAAGAGATTGTACCAAATGATACGGGTATCTACAAATTCTTATACGTTATATTTTTTCTATGTTTTGGACTATGACTTTGCAATGCTTTTAAACATAACGTATGACGCTCGTACATATACATATTTATAGGTTTCTGATTAAATGTAGGCTTTGGATGTTAAACATTTGGGACCATATAAAGGTGGCTCTTTCACTTCCGGCCAAAAAACTGTAAAATTAGATTTAGTAGCCTTGAAAGATTTGGCTATTGGAATCAATCCGGAGAAGGTTGTATTTGGGAAAGTAGTATGTTGGATACAAGATACCGATTGTGTACCTTTGTAAGTATTCTCTGCAACGTTTAAAGAAACAGTCAAAAATAGGAAACAGTATTTATTACCTTAATTAATAAATATATATATATAACTTTACAGCGCTTTTTGTCTTGTTGATGAAGAAAAAACGTGTATTGCTGTAACAATATACAACTTAGCCAAAGGTCGCGGTGTTACTGTCGGAGATTCTGTTGCTATACCTGAGCCTTTTGTTATCCATCAGAAGTTTTCCTACCTCAATAATGTTGGTATACCGTTTATAAATCATGTAAAAATTACTACTTCCGGTAGCTACATGTGCGTTTCTTTTTCCAGGACTTTGATTTCAAAACGGTACGAGTTGAAACGCCAGTCGTATTGGTTGTTAACGGAAAGAAACTAGGTAGGGAGCAACAAGCCTCTGCGATATTTCACACTTTTAAAAAAACCGATTGAACATTACCTATAATCCGCGGATTATAGTGAAACATAGTTGACAACAAAACTTTCCTATAACTCGGTTACGGACATGTGTCAATAGCCGATATGATATTTGAATTTTGAGTCGAAGTATTATTACATTCATAGAAATTAAATAATCTTACCGCAGTCAATTTTGCTGGAGTTAGGCGGATATATATAATATAATATATAATATATATATATAATATAATATATATATATAATATATCATATATATATAATATATCATATATATATAATATATATATATATAAAATATTATATATATATATAATATATATTGTTGCGTGTTCACTTGTAAAGATATCGTTCGAGGAGCAATTCAATTTTAAAATAGTTTTACGTAATTTGTTTTTTTTTTACATGAAAGTTCACATCACGTATGTATCGTTACATTTTATTTATGTTGTTAACTAATAAATAAACCTAGGGTACTCCGAAATTTTGTGCGTGCCGAATTAGGAAATCTCAAAACATAGATGTAATGTGAGTACTCGAGGTTTCTTTGTTTGCTTAAATGTCAGTTACAACATAATTTATACATGGTACAGTTGAATTACGTATAAAAATACTGATTCTCGCAACACGCGCTTATGTATTTTTCAAAAAACAGAATCAAACTCAACACAAAAGAGAAAAACTCGCGAATCTTGTTTCTAAATTTATCGCAATATTTTTTTAACCGGTCAAATCAAAAACTAATACGAATCTCCTAATTAATATAAAAAAAATAGAACCATAAGTAGAGAGACAAGAAGTCGCTTATTTTTCAGTCAGATACTTTTGGGAAAAATGCTTGTGATATATTTAAAACTTTTGTATAAAAATGTTTTCTATTATTGATTATAATAATAAATACTTATTCATAACAATATGATAGTTGGCCGCTTCTTTATTAGACCCTAGCGTCCGTTCGACGGAGAACAAATAGTGAACTTCCGGTGGGACCCCAAATTAACGATAAACTCGAAGTCACAGATGATCTACCTCGCCAGAGGTCGACACCTCCTCTAGTTTCATTTCGCGACCGCGTATGGATCACGCGAGTGAAACAGAGGCGTGCCAATTGTTTTCTTTCCTTCCAGGATCAGTACAACGTCTTCACATATTCACTTCCCATAACTTAAAGTAATTATCGATCACCTCGAGGAACCACTCGCGTCGCTGAGTGTCATTAAAAATGGGCGCCAACGTTCGCAGCTGTAGCTGCAGTAGCGCTTCGTCTCCAAGTAGTCCATCAAGTTGCTTCAGCAAGACCGCGTCTCCGTGTAATTTCAGCAGGCTCGCGTGGGAGAAAATATAATATTGATTTCGAAGTCGTTCCACTGCCCATGCTTCCACGGTGCTATTCCCGCTGGCAGCTTGTATGGAACCGATGTGCTCTGCATACCATGGGGAGAAGTAGTTACTTAATTCGACATTCGAGAGGTTCGCCACACCGCGTGTCTTCAAACGCTCTTTTATACGCAGATACGCTTGTGGAGTATAGACGAACACCTAGAAAGGAACACAGTCTTGTTATTATGTCAATCATCATTATTTCCACCTTTTTCTTTTTAAATTTTCCGCAATTTTTAAATCACATTTCCCGCCATTTTTAATGTAGAGATCATAGATCTCTTTCTTTTAATAACAGGGCAGCCCATATAATTTATTGAGTTTTATACAAGAATTAAAAAATTTCCAGAATGCACGTTTTAAGCATTTTTTCCATATAATTTTAAATATTTAAAATAGAATGCACAAGTGTGTACTAGTAACACAGCATTGTGCAAAGCAGGTGGCCATGTTAACTCTCTCAACCTGTTTTGTTGAAACAGAATGTTCTTTGAAATTATTCGTAGATAAGTAGAGGTATATGTTATTGAAAGAGTGGAATAAATCATACTGTAGGGGTCACTTGAAAACGAGCGTATCGAAATACGGTTAATTGTAATAGCAATGAAACGTGGATATTATAGATAAGAACGTTTAGAAATGAGCGTCATGAAATCTATGTAACTATTGTGTTAATTCTACTCTGTGACAGCACAATTTATGAGTTCCATGCTTATTGACGCGCACATGCAGACTTTAATCAATGCTGCACATATTCTCAAATTGATTCTTGGAACTGAATCTCGAGGCAATACATTTTATGCATCTATGAATCGCTCGCCTTGCACAAGACGTTCAAACGAGTGTGTATAAGGTATAAAACGCCTTAAAAGACATAAAGCGTTTATTGTTG